CGAGCGCAGCTCCAGCCCCTCGTAGTCGCCGGCGCTGACGCACGGGCACCAGCGGAAGGCGTGCTTGAATCCCAGCCGGAATCTGCGGCGGGAGCGGAGGGACGCGGAACGGGCCAAGGGAGCGGGGGAGGACGCGGAATTCCAGAGAAAATGATGGGTGGGGAAGGACAAGGAGGTGAACAATGGGATTGGGATGGAGGAACAATGGGATGGGATGGAGAACAATAGAATTGGGATGGAGATGGCCACAGGAATGGGATGGAGATGGCCACAGGAATGGGATGGGGATGACCACAGGATGGGATGGAAGTGACCACAGGAATGGGATGGAGATGGCCACAGGAATGGGATGGAGATGGCCAAAGGAAGAAGAAGATAAAGCTGAGCTTTTCTAAACATGACAAAATTGCGATCTTTCACCAAGGGGAGGAAAAACCCACAGAGAAGCAGAAACCCCTGGAGGAACAGGAAACCCCTGGAGGAACGGGAAACCCCTGGAGAAACGAGAAACCCCTGGAGGAACGGGAAACCCCTGGAGGAACGAGAAACCCCACCAAGAACCATCCCAAAAACCCCTCTCCATCCTCTCCAGGACCCCACGGAAGCTCACCTGTCGTTGAGGCAGCAGTAGATGATGGGGTTGTACATGGTGGAGCTCATGGCCAACCACATGACGGCCAGGTAGAGCTGCTGGATGGACCTTCTCAGGTACCACTCGGGCCTCAGGTACTGCAGCGTGAAGTACACGTGGTAGGGCAACCAGCAGAGCGCGAAGGTGCACACCACCACGATCATCATCTTCACCACCTGCCACGGGCGACAGCATCCGGCGGCCGTTCCGGCCTCTGGAATGGCCATTCCCACCCGGAACGCGCGGTCGGCGTCTCGGTTTGGCCACACACGTGGAGGAGATGTCCACAGGACTCTGCTCCATCTTCAACCCCTCTGGACCTTCCAGACTTTTTGACCTTGGAGACCTTCCCAACCCAACCAGGAACATCTCAATTGAACCATTTTTGTCCTAAGCCCATCTGGATTCTCTGGCCGTGGATTATGGATCCAGCCATGCCCGGAATTCCTCACCTTGTGCTCGGCCATGACCTTTGCATGGTTGGGATTGGCCAGGAATCCTTGGATCCCAGAATTCCCGGAATTCCTCACCTTGTGGAGATCAGCCGGGAATCCTCGGATCCCGGAATTCCTCACCTTGAGCTCGGCCATGACCTTTGCATGGTTGGGATTGGCCAGGAATCCTTGGATCCCAGAATTCCTCACCTTGTGGAGATTGGCCGGGAATCCTCGGATCCCGGAATTCCCGGAATTCCTCACCTTCCTCTTGGCCGACACCTGCTCGTGGTAGCGGTCGGAGGAGTCTCCGGGGATGGCGCTGGCCCAGAGCGTGCGGCCGACGGCGGCGTAGGCGCAGCCGATCACCAGCAGCGGCAGCAGGTACAGCAGCACCGTCATGGAAAAGTGGTACCTGGGAAAGAAAAAACCGGGATAATCCCACAGGATCCCGTGTTGGGAATGGTGTGGGAGTGCTGGGAATGCCATGGGAGCGCTGGGAATGCTCTGGGAGCGCTGGGAATGCTGTGGGAGTGTTGGGAATGCTCTGGGAATGCTCTGGGAGCACTAGGAATGCCGTGGGAGCACTGGGAATGCTGTGGGAGCGCTGGGAATGCTGTAGGAGCGTTGGGAATGCCGTGGGAGTGTTGGGAATGCTGTGGGAATGCTCTGGGAATACTCTGGGAGCACCAGGAATGCCGTGGGAGCACTGGGAATGCTCTGGGAACACTGGGAATGCCATGGGAACACCAGGAATGCTGTGGAAGCATTGGGAATGCCATGGGAATGTTGTGGGAATGCTGGGAATGTTGTGGGAATGCTCTGGGAATGCCGTGGGAGCACCGGGAATGCCATGGGAGCACCGGGAATGCTCTGGGAATTCCAGGAATGCTGTGGGAGCACTGGGAATGCCCTGGGAACACCAGGAATGCTCTGGGAATTCCGGGAATGCCATAGATCAGCAAGAACATCTGTTAAAGAGGAGTTGCTTTAAAAGGAAATCCAAGAATTCCGGGTTTAACCACAGGAGCGGCTGGAGGCTCCGACCTTGCAGGAAATCCTGGGAAAATCCTGGGAAAATCCTGGAAAAATCTTGGAAAAATCCTGGAAAAATCCTGGAAAAATCCTGGAAAAATCCTCTCTTCCCTAAAATCTGATCCCACAAACCAGTGCCAGCTTGGAAAACTTCCCAAATCCTGGAATTTTATTCCCAAAGCTTTGGGGCCTCCGGGTGGATTTTTCGGGCTCCAATCCCAGCTCCTGCATCTTCCCAAGGATTTGGAGTCGAATCCAGGCACCTTGGATTGAATCCCAGCTCCAGAGGGTGAGGAATTCTCCAGGAATTCTCCCACAGGGAACGGGGGCCGGCCCAGGCCCCGCTGCCGCTCGCTGCCAGAATCTGATTTTCCCGGCCCTAATTCCATTTGGGATGAGCCTTGCGGGGCTGGATTGCGTTTGGCTCATTCCGGAGGCGTCTCGGCGGCTCCAGAGGAGGATTTTGTTGTGGTTCCCATGGAATTCCAGATCCTCGCAGCCTCTGGAGGAGCGGCGGGATAACGTCAGCAGCGCAGAGCCTCAATTCCAGAGGGCTCTGGGCTCCCGGAGCCGTTCCAGACGGATCCGGGAATTCCTTTGGGATTCCGGGGCTGGGAGAGCAGCGGGATTTTTCCGCCTGCAGGATTCCCGGGATCGGAGGACTCGGGGAAAATCGGGAATTGCAGCTGGAAGGTTTTTAGGATCCGGCGTGGGATGGAGGATCCCGTGGGAATCGCGGGAGGACGGAGCCGTTTCCCTGGCAAATCCCAGGAATTCCGGCACGGAAGGGGCTCTGAATTCCCGGAGGATCCGGGGGGTGGATCCTCCCTTCCCTCAAAATCCCAAACTGATGGAATTCCCGATCCCTTTGGGAATCCTGATTGAATCCGGATCGAATCCTGCAGAATTCCCAGCTCCAACCAAAATCAAGGATATTTTCCAGGGAAAAACCAGCCCTGGCACCCTCGGCACGCCGGGATTGTTCTCCCCAAAGGTTTTCCAAAGGAATTCCCTCCCAGAAATGTTGGAATTCTCCTGTTTTCCCTGGTTTTTTCCACCTGTTTCCCCCGGGAACTGGAAAAATGATGGAATTTTTTCCGCCCAGCGCCACAAACGGAGCAGCTGCCACCGGAGCGTTCCCGGAATAACCGCTCCGAGCGGGGAAAAAGCCGGAATGTCACCTCCGGAATGACCCAAACACCTGTCCCGAGTTATTTAGGGCAGGAAAAAATCCCATCCCGGATTCTGAGTTCCTCCCGATCCCCAAATTCTTTGGGATTCGCCCATCCCGAAGCTGCCATGGATCTCCCATTCCCGGTTTTCCCAGAAAAACGCGGGGTGCGGATCCCGACGGATTTAACGGCGGCGTTTCCCTTTGGGATCGGCCGTTGGAAAAGCTCCGTCCCAATCCGGGGCTGCCTCGATTTGGGCTGGGAATCATTTCCCACCTTTTCCTTCCTTTTCCCACCGCTTTCCTTCCTTTTCCTGGATTTCCCTTGGATTTTCTCCCAGATTTCCCCTGGATTTTCCCTGGATTTCCCTTGGATTTTCCCGATTTCCATTGGATTTCCCTCAGATTTTCCCCCAGATTTCCCTCAGATTTCCCCTGGATTTTCCCTCGGATTTCCCTTGGATTTTCCTTCAGATTTCCCTTGGATTTTCCCTGGATTTTCCTCCAGATTTTTCCTGGATTTCCCCCGGATTTCCCCCAGATTTTCCCTGGATTTTCCCTTGGATTTTTCCCTTGGATTTTCCTTCAGATTTCCCTCAGATTTTCCCTGGATTTTCCCTGGATTTCCCTCAGATTTCCTCCAGATTTCCCCCGGATTTCCCTTGGATTTTCCCCTGGATTTCTCCCAGATTTCTCCCGGATTTCCCTTGGATTTTCCTTCAGATTTCCCTTGGATTTCCCCTGGATTTTCCCCCCGATTTCCGCCTTCCCGCTCACGTTTTTCCGGACACGGCTCCTCCGGGCTCCGGCCACTCCACGAGGCAGACGGATCTTCCCGGGAGCTCGGCGGTGACGGAGAAATATCCCTGCGGGGCGGCGAGCAGCAGCGCCAGGAGCCAGATCAGCCCCACCAGAGCCTTGGTGGCCGCGGCCGAGAGGCGAGGCCGGAGCGGGTGGATGATGGCCACGTACCTGTGCGGGAACAGCGGGAATGGGGCGGGATTCCCGGGATTCTGGCTCTGGGAACAGCGGGAATGGGGCTGGAAAATCCTGGTGTTCTGGTTCTGGGAACAGCGGGAATGGGGCCAGGATTCCCGGGATTCTGGCTCTGGGAACAGCAGGAATGGGCTGGGATTCCCAGCATGTTGGGAATGGTGGGAATGGGCCGGAATTCCTGGGATTCTGGTTCTGGGAACAGCGGGAATGGGGCTGGAAAATCCCGGTGTTCTGGCTCTGGGAACAGCGGGAATGGGCCGGGATTCCCAGGATTCTGGCTCTGGGAACAGCGGGAATGGGGCAGAATTCCCGGGATTCTGGCTCTGGGAACAGCGGGAATGGGGCAGAATTCCCGGGATGTGGGAATGGTGGGAATGGGGCCAGGAAAATCCCAGGATGGAAAATCCCAGGATTTCCTTTGGGAACGGTGTGAATCAGGCTGGAAAATCCCGGTGTTCCGGCTCTGGGAACAGCGGGAATCAAGGCTGGAAAATCCCAGGGTTTCATTGGGGAACAGCAGGAATGGAAATGTGGGAATAGTAGGAATGGGGCTGGAAAATCCCAGGATTCCAGCTCTGGGAACAGCGGGAATGGGGCTGGAAAATTCCAGAATGTAAGAACAGCATCCTCTAATTCCCTCTCCAGGGAAAACACGGAGTGGGAACGAGCTGGAAAATATTCCCGATTTTCCTGCTAAAAAAACTGGGATTTTGGGGGAATTTCCACAGGGACGAGTGCAGGATTGGGATTTTTCCCTCGGGAATAATTTCGGGAGCTGTGCTGAGGGAGGGAAGTTTGGAGATCCCGATTTTCCCCCTCTGGAAATTCCCTGGGAAATCGATGGATCTCGGAGCGCCCGGGATAATTGGATAATCCAATTGGAACGTTAAAAAAGGGAATATTTATATTTAAGGAATTTCCATGATAAACGGAGGAGATCCCAGTGGGATTCCCGCTGGAATTTTTAATGAGCAGCTTTCCTGGGAATTGCAGGAGGTTATTCCCACTCCAAAGAATTTTCCAGCTGCTTTCAACAGAAGCTCCAGGGAAAATCGGGAATTTTTTTGTTCCCCTCATCCCAAACTCCGCCCGGGCCCCACGGATTTGGATTTTGGCTCCGTTAACTCCGAGTTTTGGGATCGGGGAGGGGATTTTTCCCTGGTTCTGCCCCCCTGGATATTCATCCTCACGGGAATTCCTGCTCCATCGATTTCCAGGGGATGCTCCGGAGGAAATCCCGGATTTATCCAGGGGCCGCTCGGTGAAATCCCAGTTTAGGGAAGGCCGGAGCTGGGATTTGGTTTTGGAAATCAGCCTGGGCACCGCTGCTTTTCCTGGAAAATCGGGGGGGGGGGAAATGGATTTCCCGCCTTTTTCCCGTGTGAACCCATTCCCAAAAAAAAAAAAAAAAGCCGGGAAGAGCCGTGCCAGCCCCGATCCCAAATTTCCTGCCATTGTCCGAATTGTTCGGAACAACTTCCGGCTGTTTTTCCTTCGTGCCCAGAGCTGGAGCAGCTCCAGGGAAAGGAGGGGATGTGGGGGGGAAATTCCAGCAAAAAAAATCCCACGGTGGATCCCGCAAAAAAAAATTCGGCCGGGGGATTCCCGGAGGAGCCGCGGATTCCCAGGAATGTCCCAAGGCTGGGAAGGAACTGGATGGGATTTGAGGTCCTTCCCAACTCTGCCCATCCCAGGATTCCCAGATCCCATGGATCAATCCCCGCTTGGGGATCCGTGCTGGCTTTTCCGAGTTTTTCCGTATCCCGGGAATTGCGGGAGAGGAGTTGGGGAGGATCCCGCTGCTCCCAGGCCTCCCCCGGATCCCAGCGCTGCCGGAGTTTGGGAACGCCAGGCTCCTTCCAGGCGCTTCCCTGGGTTTGGTTTTGGAAATTGGGAATTCCAGCCTGGCCCTGCTGCTCCCGATCCCGGTGCTGCTCCTTCCCGATCCCGATCCTGGCTCTGCCCAATCCTGATCCTGATCCCAATCCTGGCTATCCCCAATCCTGATCCTGATCCCGATCCTGGCTCTGCCCAATCCTGATCCTGATCCCGATCCTGGCTCTCCCAATCCTGATCCTGATCCCAATCCCAGCTCTGCCCAATCCCAATCCTGGCTCTGTCCATTCCCAATCCCGATCCTGGCTCTCCCCAATCCTGATCCCGATCCCAATCCCAGCTCTCCCCAATCCCAATCCCAGCTCTGCCCATTCCCAATCCCGATCCCGATCCTGGCTCTCCCCAGTCCCAATCCCAGCTCTGCCCATTCCCAATCCCGATCCCGGCTCTGCCCATTCCCAATCCTGATCCCGGCTCTCCCTGATCCTGATCCCAATCCCAGCTCTCCCCGATCCATGGAATGGCTCCGGCTCGGCCTCATTGTGCCTGAAATCCCCAACAAGGGAAAAAGGAAAAGGGGAAAAGGGGGATAAAGGGAAAGGAAAAGGGGAAAGGGAAAGGGGGGAAAGGGAAAAGGGAAAGGGGGAAAAAGGAAAGGAGAAAGGAAAAGGGAAAGGGGAAAGGGGAAAGGAAAAGGGGAAAGGGAAAAGGGGAAAGGAAAAGGGGAAGGGAAAAGGGGAAAGGGAAAGGGGAAAGGGAAAGGGGAAGGGAAAGATCCAAAGGCACCTCCAGCACCAATCCCGGAGCCTTTCCCGAGCTCCCAGCGCTCCCAAAGAATTCCCAAAGCCACCTGCAGCTGGGGCTGGGCTATTTTTAGCACCCAAACGAGCTTTGTGTTAATTGCGGTGGAACAGACGGAGCAAAAAAAGATTGGGGATGTGGGATTGGAGATCTGGGATTTGGGGATCAGGGATTGGGGATCTGGGATTTGGGGATTGGGGATTGGAGATCTGGAATTTGGGGATCAGGGATTGGGGATCTGGGATTGGGGGATTGGGGATTTGGGGGATCTGGGATTGGGGGATCTGGGGGCTCTGGGATTGGGGGATTGGGGATCTGGGATTTGGGGATCTGGAATTGGGGATCTGGGATTTGGGGGTCTGGGAGCTGGGCAGGAGTGACCCCGTCACTGCCCTGTCCCTGGGCTCTGGCCAGAGCTGACCCCTGACCACTGACCTGTCCCCGGGCTCCAGCCAGAGCTGACCCCTGACCTGTCCCCAGGCTCTGGCCAGAGCTGACCCCTGCCCCCTGACCTGTCCCCGGGCTCCGGCCAGAGCTGACCACTGACCCCTGACCTGTCCCTGGGCTCCGGCCAGAGCTGACCCCTGACCACTGACCCGTCCTTGGGCTCTGGCCAGAGCTGACCCCTGACCACTGACCTGTCCTTGGGCTCTGGCCAGAGCTGACCCCTGACCTATCCCTGGGCTCCGGCCAGAGCTGCCCCCTGCCCCCTGACCTGTCCAGCGCGATGGCCGTCATGGAGTAGATGCTGGCGAAGACGGCGGCGATGG